ATTCTCTTGCAATGCTCACGTGTATTTGATATAATGGAAACAAACTGGGTATCTATTTTGCAGAAAACTTCCGACTCAAATTTACAACAAGAAAAGTGAACATTTTTTACTGATTGCATAGTTTGATGCTACGAATTACACCGGAAAAAAGGTACCACCCGAAACCCAAAGGGTTCCGGTTTTTGCAACGAAATCGAAACCCTTTTGGTTTCGTAAAAAGTGTTAATGTCAAATAGGCGATAACCAGTGTTTCGTACTTGCGGTTCTCTATAATTCACCATGCAACAATGAACGAAGGGTTCTCTGGATTGCATGCTGCATTACAGAAGCAATTTTGCACCACTATCCAATGCAAAACAGATCCACTCTGCAAAATAAATAGCTTCCTGTAGAAACCGGCAGGAAAGATGCCTAAGAATCACCTTATTCTGTAGGAAAATTCACGATATCGCTGAAACATAGAAGCCGTATTCAGACCGTAAACTTTCCCATGATTTGTGGCGCATCCTGTCGAAAGACACAGCAAGCTGGTCGGAACTCACTAGAAAAAATCAGGAAAGTTTGCGTCCAGAACAGTGCTTCATACTTCAGTGATATCAGGTGTGTTCCTACAGAATACGGTGATTTTCAGGGATGCTTTTTGCCAGTACCGTTGCCCGAAACGATAGTCATGAGATGTTTGATCTAAACAGAAAGAGGATATTTCATCAGGATATATGTTTAAAGTCGAACTCACCATTACCCAGATCGATCGTTCCGGAAGCGGAGTGTTTTCTGGCAGGACTCCAGCTCTTGCCTACTATCAGGAATCACATGAGTCCTTGGTTTGATACAAGTTTCAAAACAAACAAACTTCGTTTAGATAGCTTTCGTCCAGGGCTGGGGCTTTTGTCCACTACTGTAAAATAATATTTCACAAACTTTTTTTACATACCTATCAAGAATTTGAATATCTTTTTGATAAAATGGTACTGTTTTACTGTTAATTAATTTTAATCGATCTTTTTTTTTATAGAATAAACTACATCCATCTGATTTATCACCAGAACGTTTTATATAAATTGAATTGTATCCTATAAATATATTTTTATGTTATTAATTAATATTCTTTTTATTACCATAATCAATCATTTTTGGTTGAAACTCATTTTCATAATGTTCTTTTTACATTTCTTGTAAACAAATTATCTTAACAAAAAAAAGAGAATAAATTTATAAATTTATTTGTTTTATTTTTTCATAAACATTTATCAGCATTTTGTTTTAATATTTCTTTTAATAAACGTTCTTTTCTTCTATTTCATTTAAAATTATCTGAAAAACAATCATCATATAAAAATAAATTATTTTCAATTAATTTTTGAGCAAGAAAATGATAACTTATTATATGAAAATTAAAATGATAATAATGACTTTTTATTAAATGTTCTTCATAATTTGTATTTGACCATATTCGTTTGGGAAGTTTTAATTCAACTAAAAAATATTTTCATTTTAATTAAATATTTTAATAAAACTTACAATGAGAAGATTTTTCACGTTTATTCGATATTTCAAGAGATGGCGAGAATTCCCTTATTCTTTATAAATTTTATGAAACATCATATTCTTCATGTCTTGCTTTAATGTCTCAATTTGAACATATATTTGCATTAGATCAATATTTAGCATCTCATTTACGCACATTATATTATGAAATACGTCATAGAGTAAGTGTTATATATTTTTTACCGTATAAAAATGCAAGTATGACAGTTATGGCACGTCAATTAAATACAACAATTGATATATTTGAAGATGAATTTGTTCATTTAATTCGTTTAGGAAAACTTAAAGCACGCATAAATTCAAAAAATAAAATTTTATATGTTACTAATACTGATCAACGTTGGCATCCATATCAACATGCATTAACAACAACAAAACAATCTGAAAAATTAACTCGAGCTCTTTTACTTCGTTCAGCTATAATTAAAGCAAATTTAAGTGTTAAAGATGATTCAATATCAACATCAATTCGTCCATCAAATAATAATAATGTTTCTCATCGACAATTTGCATCGAATGTTCCTGGTAATATAATGATGGATGAAGAAGATTTATTAGATGAAGGAACTATGTAAATTTTCAATATAATTTCTTGTTTTAATTTGGTATGAAACAGGAAATAAAAATATCTATTTATCTTCTTGTTTTTTTGTATTTTACCCTGTGCTCTGTATTTCGTAAAGAATGAAAACTATAAATATATCTTTAACTGACAGTTAAATGTAGTTTTTTTTAAATCTGTTTAAGGAAATTCTTTTTCTTTGTGATTGTGCTTATTATTATTTTTGATGAAGAAGATGACGAGTTTT